TATGTGTATTGATCGATTATCCCATAGATAATCGCTCGACACTATCAATCACGGCCATCTGGTCATTAGACTAATAGTTCAACAGAATAGTTAATACTCTATAGTATCTCGCAAGCAACTAGATAGCATCCTATAGAATTATAATCCTGAAAACCTGAATAAAAACCCTAAGTCTAGCATATTTTCCATATTTTTTTTAGAAATCTAAATTTCTATTTTCGATTAAGTATTTGTCGTGCTTAATTGGAATATTTCCTTATTTCTCATTTTCTGTTTTTTTTACTATATATAAATTTACCTAGAATTGCATTCGACTAGTTATATTAGTACCTTAGCTCCTTGTGGATTCAATCCCTAAGTACTACAACTGAAGCTCTTATTTGAGAGAGTAGTTCACTCCTTAGGGTTATCAAACCGCTTATAGTGTATGTCCTTCCTTGTGGATTCAACATCTTAATAGAGTCAACAAGAACTTCATATGCAGTCCGACCCCGTGGATACGTCATCATGGCTTCATTGTCGAATACTCTTTTTGCACTTTCAAATGGTATCCTAGAATTATGATGCAAAGTATACAGTCTCATCGCTTGAAGAAGTAACAACCTTAACCATTTACGCTTTTCAAAACTTCAGGCCGAACATATCTCTAATGCTTCCCTCGGTTCATCTAACTTGGGTCCCACCCCAAGTGGCAGATTCAACTCCTCCTAAAATGATTTGTATTGTTCAGGTTCAAAATTTTTTTGTTGGCACTTGATCTGTGTTTAACCCAGTGATCTCACCAAATTTGTGTAAGCTAAACATGATAGGTTCATCACCAACTAGACTCCAAATCTCCTTATTATATACTCTAAGCTGTCGACATAGTAGATAGTGTACAGTCCTACCAGACCACACGCTTTTGCTTTCAGCTAGCTTAACAATAATTCCAAGAGGACCCTGCCTTTGGTGATCCCACACATCCCGTCCTATTAATTCTCTAATGTTAGGAAAATCTCCCATCTGTAAATTGTGATTAATCTCTTTATTTTCTAGATTAAAAGCTCCTTCAGCGTAAAGTCGTGGAGGATAATCCCGTGCTTGATCTTCAGAAATAGCAATGTGATCTGAAACACATATATATAAATCAGCCGCAATAGAAAAAAAAACTCAGCCACAACATAATAAAAAAACTCAGCCACCATATAACGCAGTTGTAATAGAAACAAAACTCAGCCACAACATAATGAATAACTCAGCCAAAACATAATCAATAACTTAGGCACAACATAATCTATAACTCGGCCACAATATAATCAAAACTCAGCCAAAACATAATCTATAACTCAGCCACAGTATAATCAATAACTCAGCCAAAACATAATAAATAACTCAGCCGGATCATAATCAATAACTCAGCCACAACATAATCTATAACTCAGTCGAAATGGAAAACTATATTTTCACAACGTAAATCAAACACAACTCACCCACACTATACAACAACTCAGTTACAACATAATCTATAACTCAGCCACCTCGTAAGTCAAAATCGGTCACAATATAAATCAAACTCAGCCACAACATACCAGAGAAGATGATGTCGTAGATAAGATTGCGTAGAAACTTTTGCGGGGAAGAGGATGTCGGAGACGATTAGTTGTGACAAAGATGATATCGTAGACGGTTAGGGTTTAACGTAGTCGACGAAGATGATAACGGAGAAGACGATATCAGAAACAGTTTGGTACGAGAATATTAGTTGTGACGAAGATGATTTCGTACTTGGTTATAGTTTAATGAAAGTTGTGACAATATGACGACTTTTTTCTATTCACAGGAGATATGGGACGGTTGATTTTCCAGTGTCATTATTAATGACACATAATAGTGACGTGGTTTGTCTAATTAGTGGTGTGGATTTACTAATTAAAATTTGTATCAACAGTCAAAAAATTAAACAAAGGTGTTTATTGTAATTTATTAGGAGTCTGAAAACATTATAGTAAATTTTAGAAAACATATATTATTCTAGTCATATACCAGCTTTTATGTGATATTCTAGTATTTTTTTCTTCTTTTATTCCCTACTTTGTAATAGAGCAACTTCATAAAGACTTTCTAAACTCCTATCAAGACTTTTTTTTTCGTCACAAACTTCTATCTTATCATATAAAGCTTGTTCTTCAAAGTTACTAATTAACATGATCGCGACACATGACAATTATGTGTTTAAGATTGTGACATGTGTGAATCTATCTCATAATTAAAAATATATATACTAAGATAATAACAAAAACTGTTTAAAAAGTAATTATAACTATTATATAATAGTTATTTTCCGTTTTTAAAATCCTAAACAAAAATAATTGTAAAATATTATTTGATAGTAATTTCCTTTTAATATTGTGACATGTGTTAAAATATCTAATGATTAAATATAAGAAAAACGAAATTTTAAAAAGTAAATTTAAAATTTATTTATCAGTAAAAAGTAACATCAAAAATTATTTAATAGTATTTTTTTAAAGAAATTTTACTTTTTATTATATAAAGCTTGGTTCTTAAAATTGAATTAAATTTTCCAATATAATATATTAATGGTTTATAAAATTTTAGTTAATGAGTTTAGACAATCTTATTATATAAAATTTGGTTCATCAAAATTACTAATTAACACAATCGCGACACATGACAAGTATATATTTTAGATTGTGCCATATGTTACAATACATAAGTATATGAAAACAAAATAAAAAGCTAGTTATTATCGTTTTTAAAAAATCCTATACTAAAATAAATTTGTACAATAATTAACACTAATTTTCCTTCTCTCGAAGAATAAAGAAAAGATAATTGTAAAATAAAACTTGTAAAATATATTTCCAAAAAAATTATTTAATAGTAATTTTCTTTTATTGTGGCATGTATTAAAATATTTCATGATTACAAATATATATCTAAGATATAAAAAAAAAAGAATTTTGAAGAAATTTATGTTGTGAAAATTGTTAAAAGGTAAAAGAAAAAGTAAAGAGTATTTCATTGTAGTTTCCCTTTTATAATTTTAAAAAGAATAGCAATTTCCCTTATCTAAAATTGTAAAGAATAGATAATTGTAAAATATTATTAGATAATATTTTTCTTTTAAAAATTTGACATGTCTTAAATATCTCATGAGATATATAATAAGATGTCAAAAAATATTTTTTTTAAAACAAAAAAAAACTGATTTGCAAGAGGATTTATTTAGTACTAATTTTTTCTTTTTTTAAATCCAAAAGTAAATGTAAATGTAAAAAAAAATTGAAAGTAATTATTTGATAGTAATTGTCCTTTTCTAAAATCTTAAACATAAGAAAATTGTAAAACAATGTTTAACAGTACTTTTTCTTCTTTCTTTTCAAATCCATTATAAAAATGATTTGTAGGATAATTATTTCAATTTTTTTTTTTTTGTAAATAACGAGCTTTTCTATTTAAATAGTTAGTTTTCTGATGAAAATTATTAAACCAAAAACGGATTTGTTAAAAATAATTTGAAATATTATTTAGGAGTAATTTTTCATTTTCTAAAAAATCCTATACAAAATATATTTGCAAAATAAATCATTTGATAGTAATTTTCCTTTTAACATTGTGACATGCATTAAAATATCTCATGCTTACAAATATGTATACTAAGATAAAAAAAACTAATTTGAAGAAAATAATAATTTTAAAATTGTTCAAAGTTAACAGTGTTTAATTGGAGTTTTCCTCTCTACAATGTAAAAAAGAATGCCAATTTCTTTTTTTGTAAAATTCTAAAGATTTGATAATTGTAAATATTGTTAGATAGTAATTTTCCATTTAAAAATTTGACATGTGTTAAAATATCCCATAAGACATATAGTAACATTTTAAAAAGAAATAATTTTTTAAACAAAAAAAAAAGATTTGAAAAAAATGTTTATTTAATACTCCCTCTTTCTTTAATCCTGAAGGAAAAAGAAATGTAAAACAATATTTGATAGAAATTATTTGACATTAATTGTCTTTTTCTACAATCTTAAACATACGATTGTAAAAGAGTGTTTAATAGTAGTTTTTTTCAAATCCTAAGAAAAAAGAAGTTTGTAGGATAATTATTTCAAATATTTTTTATGAAATAAAATTTTCTATTTAAATAGTTAATTTTCTGATTAAAAATCATAAACGAAAAGGAACTACAATTTCACATCCATATATAGGAGTAATCTCTCATATTTGGTCACTTCTTCTATTTTGTCACCAAACATGATGAGGGATACAAATAAAATATTAGGTGAGTTTTTATTTTACATGTTCTATCATGTCTTGACATGTTATTTTTTTTTTTTGTTTTTGAGTGTCACATATTGAAGATATAACTAGGTCTTCTGATTTTTGCATGTTTTATTTACTTTTAATTTTTATTTTATTTCACTCTGATTCTTAATTTAACTTGAATTTACTTTAAATTTGTAGGTATGAGTATTTTCTCTAACCCTAAGTTCAAAGTTAATAACAAATCACTTATGCGTGATGATTATTCTAATCCAAATAGTAACCAGAATTTAAGTAGAAAAATAAAATATTAATTCTGAAATAAATCTCACATAAAATATGTAAAAATAATCCTAAAACTATAAAATAGTTTTTAGTTATTATGTTTTTTTTTTAAATTAAAACATCAAACAAAAGATTTGTTTAGTAAAATACAAATATTAACCAAAACTTGTATGGTAAACGAATTCTTAATTCTAAATAAATTCACACAATATAAGCAAAAAAAAAACCTAAAATTATAAAATATTTTTCTATTTTTATGTTTTTTATAAAAATTAAAATATCAATCAATCTCGTGCAATGCAGGGATCCATATCGAGTCAGACTAATAAAATCACGTTGTATAAAAAATAAAAACCCATAAGCTTCGAGGCCTTCTCCAATAGAAAGAAGAAACATTCTCTCTGGTTTTTTAGTGCTAACGTGCGCGTTGTATCTATATCGTGCACGGGAAGGAGAAGAAGAAGCACAAGGATAAGAAGAAGCACAAGGATAAGAAGAAGCACAAGGAGAAGAGCAAGCTAAATCAGGAGTGGCGCATTTTAGCCGTCCGCCATATCCGTAGCTGTCTTTCTCCTCTCCGACTAAATTGGTTTCTTCTTCTCATCCTTTCATCCAGTATACGTGTTTTCGTGATTTTCTTCATCTTCTTCTTCTCTTATTTCGGCACGATTTTGTTTTTGTTTTGAATGAAAGAAAGATATAAATGATTTGATCTCTGAGTATTTTTTTTCTCTCCTCTAGAATTGATGGCTGCTCCACCTGCTAGGGCCAGAGCCGATTATGATTATCTCATTAAGCTTCTTTTGATTGGAGATAGCGGTTTGTCATCTCTGAATCAATTCATTTTTGTCTTTTGAAATCGATCTATAGTGATGATTCATTACAACGTCTTTGGATTAGAGATCTGAAGATTCCTTTGTTTTGTTTGCAGGTGTGGGTAAAAGTTGCCTCCTTCTACGTTTCTCTGATGGCTCCTTCACCACTAGCTTCATTACCACCATTGGGTTTGTCTTTCTTTTGACAAATTAGTTCAACGCATTGATTCTTCTATTCTATATATCTTTAAATCTTCTTCTTTGTCCTCTTGACGTAGCATTGACTTTAAGATAAGAACCATTGAGCTTGATGGCAAACGTATCAAGCTCCAGATTTGGGACACTGCTGGTCAAGAACGCTTCCGCACTATCACCACCGGTGAGTAAGTTCATTCTTGAATAGCCACTTACAGGTGCTATAGATGGAGTAATATGATCTCTTGTAAAGTTAATGTACTTGTTTGCAGTGGCACTTGATTGATTTTGCCTTGCTTGTCTGGTTAATTCCCTTGGTCGTTGTATAGTTTATGCTATATCTACATCTCTTCTTTTTGTTTTTAACACTACTTTTGAACCTTTACTGATCACATTCTTCTTTTTGCTCTACAGCTTATTACCGTGGGGCAATGGGGATTTTGCTGGTTTATGATGTCACAGACGAGTCTTCCTTCAACAGTAAGAGCCCCGTCTTGTGATAACCAAATGATTGTTTCTTTTACACACAAGAGTCTTGGCATTATCTGCAGACATTAAGAACTGGATTCGTAATATCGAGCAGCATGCTTCCGATAATGTTAACAAGATCTTGGTTGGGAACAAGGCTGACATGGATGAAAGCAAGAGGGTATGATCACGCCTAACTTTTATCCTAGTTCATGAAGAGGATTCAGGATAAATCCTAATGATAATGGTTTATTGGTTCGTTCACAAACTCTTTCAGGCTGTACCTACAGCAAAGGGTCAGGCTCTTGCTGATGAGTACGGTATTAAGTTCTTCGAAACTGTAAGTCTCAGTTTTAAAGAGAACACAGCTGCTGTAAACTAGATGGGGTCACATTTCTTACTACATTGCTGTCTTGTTGCAGAGTGCTAAGACAAACCTAAACGTGGAAGAAGTTTTCTTCTCGATAGGGAGGGACATAAAGCAGAGGCTTTCTGACACTGATTCCAGGGCTGAGGTTTGTTTACATCTCTGTCTGCTTTGGTTTTCATTTTCTGAATACCCATTGTTTCATGTGTTTGTCTTGTTCAATTGTAGCCTACGACGATCAAGATAAGCCAAACGGACCAAACAGCTGGAGCCGGGCAGGCTACACAGAAGTCTGCATGCTGTGGAAATTAAAGAAAGTTGTAAAATTGAAGTTTTAAGTCAGAAAAAATATACGAAGATGTCGCTGATGGGTGCTCGTGCGTGATTGAACGTTTCTGATTCTTTCTAAACATCCTTTTCTCCTATCTATTAGTACGAAGGTTTAATCGAAACTTGTATTCATTTTTTTTTTTTTATGTTGCTGAATAGAGTTATATTTCTTTTGCACTTTAATCAAATCTTGACTTCTAAGAGTTTTTTATTTATCTTTTCACAATACAACTACCTTTAGAGCTTTTATTCTACCGGACAGTTTAAAACGTAGATTATTTGATTACACGGTGTGTTTCCATTGAATTTTCTCAAATAAAAACACCTGATATGATTGTTTTGTGTGTTAAGGTGTTTCGAGCCAGTGATCATGAAATTTCACAAATAGTTGCACCACAGGAAAGCATAGCAACCATGCTTATATTATGAGTTGATTTTTTATTGGGACACTTTTTTCACTTTTACTACAGAATAAGACACTTAACACTTGTTGGGCACTTTATCCTCACCAACTGGGCTTGTGGAGACTAAAGTATCCCTTTCATGGGGTTAAGTAATTTTGAGAATAATATAATTAACAAATTATGTTTCCTTTCCGCGAACCAAACCTGTTTCGTACTAGGATTTATTATGGTTGGTGTATAGAAAAGAGAGTCGCCTAACAACCGTTGGATTGATGAGAATCTAAGGCTGAGGGAAGAAGTAGGTTTTTGATAATAAATGCTATGTTACGTTGGTTTCTTCCTCGGTCAGAATTTTTCAGAAGAACAAGCTCCAGCAAGCTCTGTGAAGATTTGTTTTTTTTAGATTTAAGTTTTAATCCGAAGATAACAAAACGTGTTGGTTGAAATTTTTTTTACCTTAAGTATTTAGGAAGCAGGTCCTCTGATATGGAAGAGCAATGTTTGGTTTTAAGCGGTGACTGGGTATGTGGAGAGGGAGGGAAATGGGATTTCGTGGTTGAGAAGAATAGGATGGGGCGTATGGTACCCTTATACGAGGGTATTGGTTACTTGGAACTTCAAAGAAATGTTTTTCGGGAATTTAGAATGGATGAAGCTGGGTTCGATGTTTCGTTGAGCTATTGGCCACCAACAAGTTTTGAGCTAGCTACTGGGATTCGGACTCCTCATGTTCCGATAACAAGCGACGGTTCTGTCAAATACTTTTGCCAACATCTGAAAGTGAATGGTGGGATGAATCTGTTTGCAAAATTTGCCACGAAAATCTTGTCTGTGGACGCCGATTTTGTGGATGACTCTGGAATGGGATTTGTTTCGCCAAATGCAGCAAAGTTTTGTTCTGGGAATCGTCAGAAGGGTTACTTGTCCTCTGCTTTGTCGAAGACGAAGGTTGTAAACCTTGGTGAAGATAATGATTTTTTCAGTGAGGTAGAGTCATTGGAAGCCCAAATAATGAGGGAGAGTGATAAAGGGGAAAGTAGGAAGGTTGTGGAGGAAAGTGGCGCTAGTATTGAGACAGAGGGAACATGTAATGTGGAAGCTGAGTTGAACGAGATTGAACTGAGGCCTCGAAGTTACGACAAAGAGTTTTGGAAACCGTTACTAGATGGGGATTATGGCGGTTCAGATGTTGTGGATGTTATCTTCAATGAAGACGATATTTTTGAAGGGTAAACAAAAAAAATGGGCCTAGGAGTTACTTTTGCGAGACGGGTAATTGTTCTGGTGGGGATATGGGTGGAGAAGATAAAGGAAAAGCAGAGAAGGCAAGGGGATATAATCCTTGGAATGGAGGTGGCGACGAAGCTGGTGGAGGTGTTAACATTACCGGTAGTCGAAGACGTAAGCTTGCGGATGTTGACGACGAAGAATTTGATATCCTGCCCTTGTTTGACGATATAGAGTATGAAGCTGCTGAAATTCCTGACATGGATGTTGATGAATGTGATAGCCAAATAGCAGTTGGAAAAGTGTTTGGGAGTAAGGAGGATTGTCAAATAGCTTTAGCAATTTATGCTATTAAAAAACAATTCAAGTTCAGGCAGACAAGGACCAAAATTGACTATTTTGTTGTGCAGTGTCCAGACGAAAGGTGTGATTGGCGTGTTACAGCACATGAAATCAGAGGGTGTGGTTACTATCAGATAAAGAAGGCGCAACTTGATCATGTTTGCCCGATAGAATTCAGGCAGGGCTACAAGAGTAGAGCAACATCACGTGTGATTGCAGCTGTATACAAAACAAAGTTTGGGAACCCCGGGAAGTCGCCTGTAGCAAGGGATTTGCAGAAACTGTTGTTGGAGGACCTTCGTGTAAATGCCTCGTACATGAAGTGCTACAGGGCCAAGGAAAAGGTGGTGCTGGGAATGAGAGATTCTGACGAGGACTCATACTTAAAGCTTCCCGAGTATCTTCACATGCTGAAGCTTGCAAATCCTTGTACAATTGCGGATTTGGAAACAGATGTAGATGAAGATGGTGATGAACGTTTTTTGTATCTCTTTCTTGCATTTGGTGCTTCATTGAGTGGATTGAGGAAGCTAAGGCATGTTCTGGTGATAGATGGTACACATCTTAGTGGCAAGTACAAAGGTGTTCTATTGACAGCTAGTGGGCACGATGCCAATTTTCAGATATTTCCGCTCGCTTTTGGGATTGTGGACAGTGAGGATGAGGATGCGTGGACCTGGTTCTTGCAGAAAGTTGAGAGGATACTTGGTGATTCGCCTTCTCTTGCAATAATATCTGACAGGGCTGTATGTATTTCGAATGCGGTGAGTAAGATATATCCGCAAGCAAAACATGGAGCTTGCATAGTTCATTTGGCAAGGAATGTTAACTCTAGGTTTTCTAGTAAACATTTAGCTAAGATGGTGACGGCTGCAGCGATGGCTCATATGCCTCGAGAGTTCAAGGAACTTTATGGGAAGATAAGAGCGACTAACAGTGCATGTGGTGTTTATTTGGGCAAAATAGGTGTTGCTCGTTGGTCTAGAGTAAATTTCCCAGGAGATAGATATAACATCATGACTAGCAATATTGCTGAGCAGTTGAACAATGCACTGTTGGAAGGTAGGGGAGCCAACATTGTTGAGTTGGTTAAATTCATACAAGGCATGATGACGAGATGGTTCTGTGCAAGGAGGAAAAAAGCCGAGAAATACAGAGGTGATGTGAGTGTGGAAGTGGACAAAGAGATGACAAAGAACATGGCCACTGTTAAAGGTAGCAGGATAAATGCTGTTGATAGTTGGAGCAGCCAGATTGTTGGAAAGTTTGGCAGATCAGACAAGGTAATGCTAGCTGAGAAAAAGTGTAGTTGTAAGTATTTTGATGATATCAAAATACCTTGTGGCCATGCTATGCTTGCAGCTGACGGACTCGGTGTGGCTTACGAAACATTGTGTGGGCATTGGTACAAGACATCAGTGTGGAGAGAGACATATGCAGGTGTGATCAGTCCAGAGGGTGATCCAAGGGATGTTGAAATACCTGAAGAAGTCAGCAGTATGGTCCATTACCCTCCTAACACAAAAAGGCAAGTTGGGCGCCGTCGCAAGACACACATACCTTCAACGGGGGAGATACATGTGAGTTGGTACCTTGAAAATGTTTAACTTTGAAGATATTGTTTGGTTGATAGTATATTTGTATTGTTGCAGGTCCCAAAGAAGAAGCAGGTGCAGAACAGATGTGGTAGGTGTAGAGGTGTTGGACACAACCGCACTAATTGCACCAACCCAATATAGACTTGGTGAAGGAAGTTTTTTGACGATACAGAGTATCATGTGATCGGCGGATTGGAAGGTTTGATATTGACAATGGCAAGATTATTCAAGGCTATTTTAAACATGATTTGAGTGTATTTTTTTGGGTACCATGGAGTATCTTAGTTATGTGGAGATTTTCCCCTATGAGGGCTAGAGTAAATTGTAAACTAGTGGCCATCGATCGAGATGAAGTTCTACTATTTTGGAAGTGGATGTGGACATGTTTATTTTGATTTAGGGTTGGACATGTTTGTTTTGGCAGAGCTCCATATTGATTTTGTAAACTGGTTCGTTTTAGTCATGTTAAGGAGTGGATTTGTGTTTTGAGTTTGGTAGAACTGAAGATTGCTCTTAGAATAGGAGCATAATTGTTTAAAAAGCAACATCTTTCACATAAGGTAGTAGATACAACAAATAACATTTGCAAGATGCCATAATCAGAAAAGGTCTACCAGCGTCAATTCCTACTACAGTGAACATTGAAGCAAAATTAGAGGCGATAACATAATACATAATGTTGTTTCAGAACGAAGGATAGGTGAAATGGAGGAGTATACTGCTCTTCCACCAATTAGGAATTGAGCTTGGTGTAGAGCCATGCCATTGTTCCTAGTGCAATTGCTGCAACTGCGATGTTGATAACTGGTGATTTTGACTTGTATGCAACGGGTGGGAGGCATTGAGCAGGCAAAGTATCTTCTGTGGCCGAGTCTGAGTTGTTGTTTGTCCCACTTCGAGCAGTTTGGTCATCAAGGAGCGTTTTGATTTGCAGAAGGGCATCTTCAAGGTGTTTTGCTTGCTTTTCCAAACTTTGTGTTGTGAACCTCTTGAAAGAGTCTACATCTGCCTTTAGGTGACAATGTTTAGCATCGACAATGTTAATCTCGTCAACAATGTCCTCGTCGCACCATTTGAACAAGTGGTGTTCTGCTTTCCTCTAAAAAATATTCTCTCAATTTTGAAATACTTTAGATTTTGATGTTAGATGAAAGTAGTGTATTAAGACATGGATTTGGAGCATACCTTGACGCCTAGTCCGCACCGATGAAACCTGCGGAAAAGATTCTCCTTCGTTGAAGCGCCGAATGTAGTCAAGTTTGATCCACACCAACAACGAGTGGGGATGCCCACTGTCTGTCTTCCTGTCTGAGAACGAGATGAAGAATCAGATGAGCTCATGTCGAAGATTAAGGAGAAGGTGTGGAAGTTTTGGGGAGGAGAGTAGATCGGATCTAAATTGGGATTTGTCTTGAATCGAGACTTCGGATATTATACTGAAACGTAAGTTTGTTTGAGTTCCGATATTATGTGAAGGCTGACATTTCCTTGGTAGTTGGGCCGTGTTGATTTCTTTAATGGGCCTTGTAGACGATAATTCGTGGATATGGACACTATTGCCATTCCGATTGTGTATTTCACAGTACGTGGATGTGGACGAAACTTAGACATTTGCATATTTTCATAGAGAACATTATAAAACGGAAGCAATTAGTAAATAAAGTCTAGAACTAGCGTATAGTTTTCGCCACGACTGGCAAACATCGCATCAAAAAACATTAAACTAAAGACAGAAGGAACCTCCAAAATATTACACTAAAGTAGGGAGGAGTTCGGTGGTTAACGTCTAGGCCTGAGTAGATGTCCATAGTAAGAAGGGAGGACTATGGTTTTGTAGATGTCCATAGCGTACTGCTTTCGTAGGTCGTCCACGATTGGGTCTGTGATGCTGTTCATATGAGGGGCTGGGTCACCATGGGCATGCATCTCCAAGAACTTCATGCTGACGGGTCCACAATCACCAGATCGAGTGTTTGTGTAAAGGTCTGGAATACGTCTGCAGACAAAGGGCTTGAGGCCACTGAATTGTGTTAGGTCACACATAGCGACTTTCTTCACAAGGTAAGGGAGCGAAGTAAGCAAGGGTTGCATGAACCGAGCCACGCGCCTGTCTGCGTACAAAGTTGGAAGAGGATCAAGTATTTCAATTAACCCCATGTCAAGGTTAATTGCTAGGCCCACCCAATGGGAAACGTTCCAGACCATGGGCGTGTAAATTGTGGTGATATCTTCCATCCACTTCTTCCCTGGGTGGAGAACAAAGTCGACAACACGCTGGTCCCAAGTGAATGTGTTTTTCTTTCTAGAGGACTTGAATTTGGCATAGTTGGTCAGGATAGATGCCGGTAAGATGGGTGACGCGAATGCAGCTCTTTCCCTCTGCAGTATGTCGGAGTGTCTTTCAGACAGCATGTGCACAAGGATTTCCATTTGCTGTTCAAGATATAAGTGTATGCTCAGCATGTGCACAATCATTAGTTTAAAACAACATAAGTGTATGCTCAGATAATAAGTAACAAAAGAAAGAAAACGGAGGCTTACATAGCTTGTTGTCCAGTTCTTTGGTTCCGCTAATTGGAGGAGGGATTTGTTGGAGAATTCATACAAAGATGTTGTAACGTGGTAACTGTGATTCCCAAAAATTGATAGCATGTAAGAGAGTATGTTAAAATACGATTGAAGGGGTTGTATATTAGTAAAACTTACACGTCTATGTTGGCTGAAAGAATTTTGTGGAAAAGGTCCCACTGGATCTGTGGAAGTGGGGTGATGAGGGCTAGAGCAGGAATAAGTGGAGAACTGAGTAGTTCCTTTGCAAGATGGTTTTCCTCCCTAGATGGAACATGTCTGGAGGGGTCTTTTGTTAGTGTGAGGTCGACAAGGCCATCCTCAATAACCTGTGTTCCCTGTTGATTTGAAAAGGAAATGTAAATGAATTGTGTTTGAAGGGTATAATGGTGGGAAGGTATGTATGAAACGTACCTGAGTAGCAGAAGCAGTACTTCCTATGGAAGGTGGAGTGTTGGATAAAGCTGTGTAAAAGCATTGGGTGTGGCTGCGTGGCCCGCGAAACCTAAACACTTATCAGTAATCTTAGTTGGAGAGGTAAGTGGTGTAAAAGGGAGTGGTGACAAACGTAAATGAGAGCCTTGAGGGGATGATGGACCAATCTTGGAGTCGAAGACAGGTGGGTTGGAAAAAGTAGGGTCGGGGCTGATTGGGTCGTAAATCCTTTTTCCATGAAGGAGTATGTGATTAATTTCGGGGCTGTTGGGATGATCACTTTTATCGTAGATAACAGAGTTGGGGTGGTATTGTTCGTCAGCAGCAGGACTGATCATGTCAGTGTTTTGTGATGGAAGAAAAATGGTTGCTATATGAACCGGGGAGGAATGAGAGCTGGGGGGAATGTTGTCAGCAATGCGATCCTGTTCGCCGGTTTCGTGGTCAGGTGAAGCGTGGTCGGTATTGTTGTTGTGGTCGCTATTGTCGTGGACAGGTGATGTGTGGACGGAGGTGTTGTTGTGGTCGCCAGAGTCGTGGACAGGTGATGTGTTGACGGAAGTGTTGTTGTGTTCAGCAGAGTCGTGGACTGTGGTTGTGTGGATGGTCGACATGAGCGGTGTTTGGCGGTGGATATGTGCTGCGTACTTACTTATGATAGGTGAGTGGCTTTGAGGAGGATCATCTGTCTCCATTGCAGCATCCTAAAAGCAAGAATAGCAGAGTGTATAAGGAATAGTTTAGTGTGGAAGAACATAAGTTGATTTACAAAACCTGATCAGTGGGGGGTTCTTGGTGGAGTGGTGTTAGTTGTTCAGGCTCTACACTCTGATGAAATGTGTCAGAGACATCCTAAAAGGACATATACTGTGTATTAGAAAAGGTTGTATTTTTTTTTGGTAATAAACGTTCGCTATAAGAACAATGTAGATTGAACTTCACCTGATCAGTGGGTAGATCGACGTTGCGTGGTGCTTGGGGATGATCCTAAAAACAGAAAAGCTTGTATAAGAAAATCTTGGAATCATAATTGTAATAAAAGCTTTATTATGAACACAATTAGATCTCTACCAAGCTTGTAAAGTATCACAAAAAATTGAGAAGTATCACAAAAAAATTGAAAAGTACATTGAACCGAACCTGATCATTTGAGAGCTGAGATGTGTTTTTGTTCCAACGAGACATTGTTGAATGAAAAGAAGTTTGCCTTGCATGAGTTTTCTTCTGCTTACGCCTCAAGAGTTTCTGCATCTTGTTCATCTGCTTCTGTAATTTGATAACCATTGCCGAGAGTTGTGCATTGGAGAAAGTGGTGATGGAATCAGTCGAGAAGTAGGAAGTTATGCGCCTTTGCTTCCTTGAAGAAGTATCCTTCTTGATGACCTTCTTTGGCTTGAGAGATTTCTTAATACGAGTGGACTGTTTCTTCCGGTTTCTCGACTTACAATGATACTTAGGCTTTCTAATGAAAGGCTCGGTTTCGACACCACCTGGCCACATAGCTTTGGTGAAAGTGTGCTGATCAGCTATCAATTGTTCCATGTAAATGACACTATCATCCTTGAAGTCATTGGACCAGACTCCCCATCCGGGATGTGATTGACTTTCAATAGGTATAATTGGTAACACAACAAGCTGAAAATAGATGATAGTTCGTTAGTCATTGAATCTAATTGCTCAATCTGGAATTCTAAAATATAAGAGAAGATTACTTACATCAGTAGAGAACTCTACTCGGAGGATATCAATGTAATTGATGGAATGGCGTTGTGGTAAATAACCATCTTGTAGGTCCATTAGTGTCCCCTGGTCAAGTGGCGCAGGTATGAAAGACAGCAGCTGAGGGATTGCGCGAAATGCCAACAATTGAAGTGACAAAGGGAAGCCTTGAAGTCTGAAAGAGTGCTGCTTGAGTTTGCTCACCAATGTAGCAACAGGATCAGGGCATTTCGGGAGCTGTCGCTTGGGAGGTTTCATGCATGAGATAGTCTTTAAAAATGATTCTCTACCCCAAGGAAAGTCAAAGAAGGTGTCCAAATTTCCGATCATCCTAACATATCGAGGAGTGGGCCGTGCTTCTTGTTGGTGAGCAATGAGCACACCGTCCACAATGATGATCGAAGCGATTCGTATCTTCCTCCAACTTGACATGTCCTTCTCCTTTTCAAGCATCTGACACAGTTGAGCAACAGTAAGCGACTTCTTCTTCCCAAAAAGACGCTTCCACACTTTATCTTTGCCCGCAACAACCTTTTCAGCAGTGTCAGGATGATATCCCTCAGGGAAAGCTCCACAATGCAGACCAGTGACAGTACCAAACTCTTCAAGACTATAACGGCGAGGGGTACCACCGAAAGCAGACCAAAGTGTGTGGCTTGGCCGACAAATAAGCTTGATGACCTTCTTTGGCTTGAGAGATTTCTTAATACGAGTGGACTGTTTCTTCCGGTTTCTCGACTTACAATGATACTTAGGCTTTCTAATGAAAGGCTCGGTTGCGACACCACCTGGCCACATAGCTTTGGTGAAAGTGTGCTGATCAGCTATCAATTGTTCCATGTAAATGACACTATCATCCTTGAAGTCATTGGACCAGACTCCCCATCCGGGATGTGATTGACTTTCAATAGGTATAATTGGTGACACAACAAGCTGAAAATAGATGATAGTTCGTTAGTCATTGAATCTAATTGCTCAATCTGGAATTCTAAAATATAAGAGAAGATTACTTACATCAGTAGAGAACTCTACTCGGAGGATATCAATGTAATTGATGGAATGGCGTTGTGGTAAATAACCATCTTGTAGCTCCATTAGTGTCCCCTGGTCAAGTGGCGCAGGTATGAAAGACATCAGCTGAGGGATTGCGCGAAATGCCAACAATTGAAGTGACAAAGGGAAGCCTTGAAGTCTGAAAGAGTGCTGCTTGAGTTTGCTCACCAATGTAGCAACAGGATCAGGGCATTTCGGGAGCTGTCGCTTGGGAGGTTTCATGCATGAGATAGTCTTTAAAAATGATTCTCTACCCCAAGGAAAGTCAAAGAAGGTGTCCAAATTTCCGACCATCCTAACATATCGAGGAGTGGGCCGTGCTTCTTGTTGGTGAGCAATGAGCACACCGTCCACAATGATGATCGAAGCGATTCGTATCTTCCTCCAACTTGACATGTCCTTCTCCTTTTCAAGCATCTGACACAGTTGAGCAACAGTAAGCGACTTCTTCTTCCCAAAAAGACGCTTCCACACTTTATCTTTGCCCGCAACAACCTTTTCAGCAGTGTCAGGATGATATCCCTCAGGGAAAGCTCCACAATGCAGACCAGTGACAGTACCAAACTCTTCAAGACCATAACGGAGAGGGGTACCACCGAAAGCAGACCAAAGTGTGTGGCTTGGCCGACAAATAAGCTGCCGAGTGAGTAAAGAGCGAATTAGCTTTGCAGATACTGGACATTGGCGAACAGGGATGTCGAATAGCTTTCCAAAACTAGACTGGCGAATTGTTTGAAACTCTGGAGTATCCCTAAGAAGATGACGAAGGAAAGGGAGGATCTCCGGTGAGGTGTATATATTGAGCTTGTTGATGGGGAACCTATCCGTCGCAAAAAGTCTCGGCGGGAGTCGGAGATCCGGTTTCAAGTTTCCTAATTTTGACAAAAAAACACAGAAAACAGCAAACGACAATTTTAGACAAAACAAAAATAGAAGAATCATAACACAAAAAGTTTCAGAAAGACGCTTTAAAAATAGAAGAATCATAACACAAAAACTGCTTTTGATGTTTGAGAGAAAAAAAAGTGCTTTTGAACTTCTTAAACGTTTTATTAAAAAGTTTGAGAGGAAGTTTCAGAAAGACTTCTAAACGAACTGCTTTTGAACTTCTAAAACTTCATCTTCTAAAAGAGGTTCAAAAATCCTCAGAAGTTTTTGAAGTCGGGAAAAAAATAAAAACAGAGCAAGTACCTCCTGTGTTCTCCGGTGGATGTAGAGCCTCAGAAGTTTTAGAAGTCTTCATCTTCTTCTTTGGCTTCCCTTTCGTCATTGTTGAGGCGTCACAGAATCTAGGTTTGTCGCATGCGAAAGAGGGATTGGGAGGAATTGGAGAGAGATGGAAACTGAAATTAGGGTTTCTGATTTGTGAAAGGGGAATTCCGATCTGGGTTCAAATTAAAGTAACTACGGTTAAGTAACTACGGTTAAGTAACTACGGTTAAGTGAGATGTTGGTTAGTTTAAGGGCATAATTGAAATTCGACTCTAATAAGTGCTCTACTTGAATGAAGTGTCTACGAATGATAATCATAAGACAAAAAATGTCCTAAGAGGTAAAAAAATCTTATATTATTGTGTTCCCAAAGACGTACTACTGCAATATTAATATAAGGTAATTCTTTGAAGAGAAATTCTTAGGTTCACCCCTTAGACCATAAATCCTAGAGAAAATTCTAAATCCTAAACCCTTAATCTTAAATTCTAAACCCTTAATCCTAAACTCTAATACTAAATTCTAATACTAAACCTTAAACCCCAAACCCAAAATTTTAAACACTAAACCTTAAATTCTAAACACTAACCCTAAATCATAAATTGTAGAGAAAATCCTAAACCCTAAACCCTAAGTCCTTAATCATAAGCCCTAAAGGTTTAGGGTTTACGATTTTCTCTAGGGTTTAGAATTAAGGGCTTAGATTTAGGATTTGTGTCGCATCCCCGATCCTGGCTAGGATCCTCGGGATGGACCATCGTGCGGGGAGACACACCAGTCAGGACGTATAATTTAAAGTCAAGCATATCATGGTCAGTAAACGTGGTTAAGTGCATAAGGAAGCAGAGACTTAGCTATATAAAGAAGGAAAGAGAGTAAAAAGAGCTACACAAGTAAAGAGGTAGCTAGATGAGGTGTAAGGACAACTCGACTTAGCTCAAGGGGGAGGTGTAGGGACAACTCGACTTAGCTCGGATAAGCTCCGGTGGAGCTCGGGTAAGCTCAGTCCAGCTCGGTCTAGCTACACACTCATTGGTCAGTTCACACCAGCTGAACTGTGATGTTCCCGTCCCTGGAACTTGATATAAGGCCAAGACGTTCAATAGAAATGAGACTGCTTTGGTTCATATCACTAGAATTGATCGTGAACATGCTGTGATGAAGTGAATAATCAAAGTAGATCATGGGAAAGCTTAGCCTTGGTCAAGAAATGAACCAAAGGACTTAGACAGAGAATAAGATGAAGATAAGCAAATTGGACGACTGATCCGGCAGCTAGGTGAGGTGTACGGGAAGCTCGATCAGCTGAATGAGGTAAGACTCAGCTCTGTCCAGCTCACACTGGGTAGAGTCAGCTCCCTGAGCTGTACTAATAGCTCGCTCAGCTGTACCGGCGGGGGATCAGCTCATCTCAGCTGGATGGTGTGTTCGGGTCTCGGGCAGTTAGACCGGTCCGGGCCATGGTTGGGTCAGCCGGTTGGGTCTTAGGGTCCAACCATTGGGCTGATGGCTTGGGCAGGTCATAGGCACGGTCCTTTGGCTATAGGAAAGGCCCAGGCTCATGTTTGATCTGCCAGAAGGAAGTTATAGGCGAATAGATGCAAGTGGTAAAAGCTTTGGGCGAAAGGATCCGATGGGGCCAAGTGGTGCCCATTCACCCACCAAATTGTGTCTCTTCGGCCTAGGCACTTACCCACACCTTATTATTTATATACAAGACCCTGGACACGAAAATAATCATCATTATTCATAAGAAAAATAGAGAGACAAGTCATAATACAGAGAGAAAGAAACAAAGACAGAATCTACCCTTAAAAGGGGGTATGATGGAGATATGCAACAACAAAGTGAAGAAGGATTTGTTGGAAGGCAAGACCGACCAGAGAGAATCTCAGAGGCACTCCAGGGCTTCATTATACATCATGGAATCAAGGAAAAATACAGAGACATGGTCGGAATCAACAGTCAAAGACCAAGAGTGGTGTGAAGGCCATAAAGAGGCAGTTTTGGAGTAGATCAGTGGGGAAGTTATGAATGACCCATTGATGGGTTTTAATCCGTGTTATTTACACCCAAAGAATCCTCCAGAGTCTGAGGACACACACAGATTTTCCGGGAAGGAGAGGGATGGCCGGATTCCACTTCCCATGGCCATGACAACTTTAAGAGTGCATGTGTGTGGAAAGACAATTTTATGAGTAATCAAGAGGGGAATTGGAAACGAGCCTATGATGGAGTATTATCATGGATGATCACTTCTTAGTATTCCTCTTCATTCTGGGAACACACGCAAAGAGTCAGGATAGAAGAGAGAAGGTCAGAATCCATTTTCATTTGCAAGGATAGTCTTGAAGGTGAAGCCACTGCAGAACGGTTTTCATGCGAGACCAATGGAAAGAACTATTGGTGCGACCCAGGGAGGGATCTTATAAAATATAGGGGGTATGTGATAAGACTTGATGGAGGCATGCTTTGGAGGAGCATGGCCGGACAAGATGCTGGAAGACACAAGATTTAATAAGATCAAATATAAGGTAACATGTTTATGTTTAAATTCC